ACTGTTTGCAGACGATATGATAGTTTACATCAGTGACCCAAAGAACTCTACCAGGGAACTCTTACAACTGATTAACACCTTCAGCAAAGTGGCAGGCTACAAGATCAACTCAAGAAAATCAGTAGCCCTACTATATACAGATGATAAAAGGGCTGAAAGAGAAATCAGAGAAACATCACCCTTTACAATTGCCACAAACAACATAAATTACCTTGGGGTAACGCTAACCAAACAAGTGAAAGACCTGTATCGTAAGAACTTTGAATCTTTAAAGAAAGAAATTAAAGAAGCCCTCAGAAAATGGAAAGATCTCCCATGCTCTTGGATAGGTAGGATCAACGTAGTAAAAATGGCAATCCTGCCAAAAGCAATCTACAGATTCAATGCAATCCCCATTAAAATCCCAGCACAGTTCTTCACAGACCTTGAAAGAACAATAATCAATTTTGTATGGAAAAACAAAAGACCCAGGATAGCCAAAACAACCCTGTTCAACAAGGCAACGTCCGGAGGCATCACCATCCCTGACCTCAAGCTCTATTATAGAGCTATAGTCCTGAAAACAGCTTGGTATTGGCACAAAAATAGACAGGTAGACCAATGGAATCGAATTGAAAACCCCGATATTAACCCACACACGTACGAACATCTGATCTTTGACAAAGAAGCTAAAAATATACAATGGAATAAAGAAAGCATCTTCAACAAATGGTGCTGGCATAACTGGAGACTGGCATGTAGAAGAATGCAGATCGATCCATGTCTATCGCCATGCACAAAACTTAAGTCCAAATGGATCAAAGACCTCAACATAAATCCAGCCACACTGAACCTCTTAGAAGAGAAAGTGGGTGGTACCCTTGAACGAATTGGTACAGGAGACAGCTTCCTGAACATAACACCAGTAGCACAGGCAGTAAGATCAACAATTAATAAATGGGACCTACTGAAACTGAGAAGCTTCTGTAAGGCAAAGGACACAGTCAGCAAGACAAAAAGGCAGCCCACAGAATGGGAAAAAATATTCACTAATCCCACATCTGACAGAGGGTTGATCTCCAAAATTTACAAAGAACTCAAGAAGCAAGTCTCCAAAACAGCAAAGGACCCTATTAAAAAGTGGGCTGCAGAACTAAATAGAGAGTTTTCAATAGAGGAGTCTAAAATGGCTGAGAGGCACTTGAGAAAGTGCTCAACATCCTTAGCCATCCGGGAAATGCAAATCAAAGCAACTCTGAGATACCATCTCACTCCTGTCAGAATGGCTAAAATCAAAAACACCAATGACAATTTATGCTGGAGAGGGTGTGGTGAAAGGGGGACACTCCTCCATTGCTGGTGGGAGTGCCAACTGGTTCAGCCACTTTGGAAAGCAGTATGGAGATTCCTCAGAAAAATGGGAATAAACCTACCACAAGACCCAGCAACTGCACTCTTAGGCATATATCCAAAAGATGCCCATTCATATAACAAAGATGTCTGTTCCACTATGTTCATAGCAGCTTTATTTGTAATAGCCAGAACTTGGAAGCAATCTAGATGTCCCTCACCCGAAGAGTGGATAGAGAAAATGTGGTACATCTACACAATGGAGTACTATTCAGCAGAAAAAAATAACGGAATCATGAGATTCGCAGGCAAATGGATGACACTAGAAGAAACCATCCTGAGTGAGGTAACCCAGTCACAAAAAGAGAAACATGGCATGTACTCTCTCATATATGGATTTTAGACATAGATCTGGGGAGTGCCAGCCTACAATCCTATGGCCAGAGAGTCTGGGAAACAGAAACTACATTTAGTGGCTGGTTAAGTACTGAGCTGAACTCAAGAAAGCCAGTATCAGAGAGGGAGGACTGATGATCAAAGGGATTAAGACTGGGCTGGTTTAACCCCCAGAAACAGCTGACCAGACAAAGGTTAACTCTAGAATCCCAGGCATCAGCATGGGACTGATCAAGACCCCCTGAATCTGGGTGTCAGTGAGGAGGCCTAGGTAATCTATTGAGCCTTGGGCAGCAGATCAGTACCCATACCAAGTATACACAGGGACTTTGGACTCCCATAGAACAATGTGAGGTGCACTCTCACCCTGAACTCTTGGGAAAGGGTCTAGGCCCTGCCCTATATGAAATGACAGACTATGGACACCCCCGTGGAGGGCCTCACCCTCCCTGGGCGAATGAGGGGATAACGGGGGGGGGGGGGGGGGGATGGGGGGAGGGTACGGGAGGAGGGGAGGGAAAGGGAGAGGGACCTCGTACTGACTTGTGAAGCAACCTTGTTTCTTATCTAAATTTAAAATGGAAAATAAAAAATATTAATAAAATAAAATAAAATAAAATAAAATAAAATTGCACAAACAAAACTAGATATGCAAATCATAAAAGCTTCTTTGAAAAATATAAATAATAATGGGCTGGTGAGAGGGCTCAGCAGTTAAAATGTTTGCTACAGACTTGACCAGTGTAAAGTGGAACCCACATGAAGATAAAAGGATGGAACCGACTCCACACATGGGCAGTGGTATGTGCTGTGCCTGTTGTGACCAGACTTGAACCCCCCCAAAACTACCACAAGACCAGATATGATGCAAAAGTAAAGAGTCTTTAATTTTACAAGTTAACTTGGGTTCCCCAGTTCATCTGACACAGCGGATGAAGCAGGCAGGACCTTGAGCAGCAGTGGAGCAGGGAATATATTGGGGTAGAGCAAGGGGAGTGTCTGAGGATCTGCTATTTGCATAGGCAACAGTCTCAGGATTGGTGCACCTCCAGACTTAGGCAACCTGTCCTGTGTTGATTGGTCAGCTGCAGCTGCAGCAAGGTTGCTATGCCTAGAGGCCCTCCCAGGGTGGTTGCTATACTCTGCATTTCACTGTTATCAGTAAAGCACATCCAGAGCCAGCCAACTAACTTCTGATTGGTTCCTTGCCACATGGAAGGTATCTGGTTTCCTAGTGACCAGAGCAAGGTCAGACAAGGACAGGGGTTCAGCACATGTTGCTGAGTCAGGGACCTATTTCTTGCTGGGTCTTTTCTGCAGCCTGTCATGGCTGCCAAAGGTGGGGGCTGGGTAAGGGTCTGGGCTCTTCAGTATGGAGGTCCACTCACACACACATGAAATACTATATTTTTAAGAAAACAAATAAATCAAGTGCTAACAGTATTGCAAAAAGAAGAAAAACTTAATGAGAGAAGGAAAAGGAAGAGAAAGGGAAAGAGGAAGAGAAGAAGAAATAATTTTAATAGCAAAATACTGAAGCAGCTTTTCCCCAAAAAACTCTAATTTTGGAGTCTGCAGGTGGAGAAGTAGTCAGCTGGAATTTCTTATCCTCCTTCCTAAGGTTCACAGTGTTGTTGAATCTGAACCCATGAATTGTCAGTTATGCCTGACAGGGCTGTAGTTGTGTTAGGAACATTCCTTTTTTCTGTACCAGGAGCCACATGCACACGCAATCAAGTACACATGTGACCTTTGGCCCAGGTAGGTTCTTACTCCGAAGATCTACTGTTCTTCCTCCTGTAGGGCCCCAGCTGCAGATGGCTTCCTGGTTTTTGTCACACAGCCTTTCTGCTTCTGTGCTTAGCTGTGTGTTTGGGTTACTAACTCACTTCCTCTCTTTCTTCCTTTGTTAATCTTACCTGTCAGTCAGGGTATCACATACAGCCAGTGTCTAACTCATCACCTTTCCCCGAGAACAGCCTAATGCACACAGAATTATTTAAGGGGAAAAACAGCAAAACATAAATATTTTTGAGAAAGAAAGAAAAAATGATGAACCTGAAGAGCAATGTATTCTGGGATTTAGCAAAATTCCTCACATTTTTGTCTTGTAACTGCTGTTGTCTCCCTGGGGAGCAGCTCAAAACAGGAGGAATAAACAGTATGGGGGCTGTGCATTTGTCTCCAGGCACACATTTCCCCATGAATGCCCATGGCTCCTGCCCCAGTTAATGCTGTGGCTTTGTAATGAGCTTGATCCTATAATATCCTTTTAGTCCCTAGGCAGAAATAAATGTGTGGTGTTGCATGTATCCCCATGCATAACTTGAAACTATTCTGAAACTTAAGTCAAAGAATGGATTATTCTATTTAAATCAAGCCCAATGTTCCACAAAGACACATCCTAATTGGAATGGGTTATCCAAAATCCTAGAATATAGGATTGACTTTTAATTCTGTAGCCCAAAGTATGAACCAAGCATGAGTCAAAACGTTCAGGTTCATTTTGTAGCACTTGCTCCCCATTAAGTATTGCCCTTTCCTGTATAATCCCTGACATCACACCCCAGAAAATGCTTCCTTCCGTCCCAGCTTGTGTGGGGCCACACTCTTAACAGGCAACACACACCTTATGACCATATTAGACTTTCCAAGCATTTTACCTATTCCTTGACAATCCAGATTGACAAGCTGCCTTTCTGCCTTTCTGAGATCTCACCATCAATGTTCCTTATGTTCTCTTTAGACAATCCCTCCCAAGTGGGAAGCGTTGCTGTCACAATCAAAGTCTTAGACGTGAATGACAATGCTCCAGAGTTTCCCAGATTCTATGAAGCTTTTATCTGTGAGAATGCTAAAGCTGGACAGGTAAGGTAAACCCCAGATGTCCAGAGGTAACCCTTAAAGATAACTGTCTTAGTGAGGTTTTCTATCACTGTGATAAACCACCATGACCAAAAGTCATCTGGGGAAGTAAAGACTTTATTTCATCCTATACTTGCAGGTAATAGTTCATTACCAAGGGAAATCAAGACAAGAACTCAAGCAGGAGAGGAACCTAGAGGCAGGAGCTAACACAGAGGCCATGGAAGAGAACCGCTCACTGGCTTGTTTTCTCATGGCTGACTTGACCTGCTTTCTTATAGAACCCAGGACCACCTTCTCAGGAGTAGTACTGCCAACAAGGTTCTGGGACCTCTCATATCAATCATTAATCAAGAAAATGCTCTGGAGATGTGCCTAAAGGCCAATCTTATGGAGGCAATTTTTTTCAACTGAGGGTTCCTCTTCCCAAATGGCTCAATCTTATATCAAGTTGGCATAAAACTAACCAGTACAAAAACTGAATTCATTATCAACAATATGTCCACACCAGAAATTATGAATTAGAAAAAAGAGTACCCAACTTCTTTATGCCAGGTGCCAATTATTTATTTGTTAAGACAACCACTTGGAGCCCAAAGTGTGGTCTGAATAGTGCTTTAACAAGTTCTTGGCTCACAGAATAGTACAGTTATGGAAATAACCACAGTTCTAAGACATATTTCAGAAACATTTTTAAGGCATCTAAATCTAGCCTTGTATTTTATCAAATTCCAAATTGTCTGATTGAGAAACATCCAGAAATCCATTTTCAGTGGCCACATAAGAATGTATTTGTCAGGTACTTCATCCCCTCGACCTGTCCTCCCACATCCTCCATTCTGCTCCTGCCTTTGTATGCTTCCTTCCTCCATTAATAGCCCTGATGTCCATCTTAGAACATACATATGCTGTGGTCCTATGAACTCAGATAGAGAAGATGGATCAAGATCATTTTGATAAGGAAATCAGGGGGGGTGGGAAGTGCCCATCTGACCAAATGGTAACTCAGCCTCTGGCAGCAACAAAGTTTTGCCCTCTCTTCTACCACTCAGTAGAACATCACCCCAGCAGCCTCTGCACAAAGCTGTGTCTCTAAGACTAACACTTACTGGAGCTCTTTCAACATCCTTAACACAATACATCTTTGTCTTCTATCCAAAGAAAGTAACTTTGTTTCTGTAAATCAAGAATCCCTTCAGTGACTTAAATCCAAACTGACCTCAACACCGATTCTTAAAATTTGGTACAAGTCCGTATCACTCCTAAAAGGTATTTTCTAGTTTTAAGAACTTCCATATTTATTAAATCTCTAGTGTAATATGGTCTGAAATATTATCGACCTAATAACAATTACAATAAAAGCTTGATTGAACAAGGCAGCATCCATGGTAATAGCTGTAAAGAACCACATTAACATGCCTGAAGTTTCGTAGATTATGTCACACATGAAGCAAAGTCAGAAAGCAGACACAAGGCAGGGCATAGTGCTCTCCTCCTACAGTGGATGAAAGCCATACAAAAGTGAATTGCACGCCTGATGATTAGAAGGGAAAGAACGAAGAGTGTTGAGCAAGATTTTATGCCAGTGGGGCTGAAGACTCTCAGGGGAATGGAGGTCAATAAAGTCAGTCATGAGGCTCCCACTGGGACTCCTAGCACACTGTCTACCTACCCTTCAAAGTCCCATCTCAACATATACACACGAAGTTTAAGATCTGCCTTAAAAATTCCCCCATCATATTATCTATCCAAAACATCCCCTATTGGTTTTGTTTGTTTTTGTTCACTTGCTTGCTTACTTTGATTTGTTCTCTTATGTGGGGAGATGTGGCAGGGATGAGGGGATGATAGGGGGACCAGGAGGTGAAGAGAATTGGGGTGCATGCTGTGAAACTCCCAAAAAGTCAATAAAGAAGTTATTTTTTTAAATCTCCTAAGAAACATTTTATCCCTTTACATTTGGCAATCAAACTAAAAAGGATTTGCTTCTCCATGGGAATAGGGCAGATGGTGCCCTGGGTTGTGAGCAGCACTGACATGAGGCTGAACTGTATGTGACTATCTTCACTGCTCCCTGACCTGTGACTTTATGACTACTCCATTCCATCCATTTTTACATCCAACAGTCAGGCATTCCAGGGGCTTACTCTGAGGCAGACTTCTGAAATATGGCGTTTCTGAGACCTATAAAAGGGAATGGGAGAGGGACTAAGCAAAATAAAAACTGAAAATTCTAGCTGCAATATAGATCCATTAACTGCCTTACAGAGTTCTAGAATAGGAGCTTTCCCAAGTTTAGGGGGCTAGTGAAGCCCTTACACTACTCTGTATCAGCTCATCATTGGCTGTAGGTTGCCCTGAAAGGGTATGCTGACCATGGGTAACTTATTAGTCAACAGCATAGGTGGTCCCTGAAGACACTGGAAGGTAACAAGCAAGGAAACAAGTCCTTAGAGGATCTGAACAGTATGCATAAATCCCTCAAAGGGTAGTCCCTCTAACCTTTCGGTATCTTGTAATACTCTGGACCCTCAAGCTGACTTTGGATGTAGTCATTTTTGTCCTGGAAAAAAGATAGCTTTTCCACTAGAAATGGTAGGTTTACAGGTTCAGGCCCAAGATGAATAGGAACCATCTGTGCTACAGGGTGTGATAGTGAACACCAATGGAAACTATCTCATCAGAACTTTGTCCACACACCACCCCACCATAATCCACCAACAAATGTCTCAACTGTCTATTTCATCCTGCTTTCTTTAACAGTTTTTCCATGAGTTTCTGTAGTCTTCATGAAAGGTATTCTAGTAGAGAACATTGTGGGAAAGACAGAACAACAGAACTTGGCCAAAGGGGTCAAGGGGAAGCCCTCTTGCTCAGCCTGTCACTGAACTCCATTTTTTATTGTATTTTTCCCAACTGAACCACACCCTCACACCTGTGACTCTAGTCTGCTTCCCACCATGGTGAGATTCTTCTCTACATGTTTTCTAACTCCCTTCCTGAGTCAATAAAACATGGCTGTCCCGTGGCCCTTGCCCTTCCCATCCATATTCCATAGCCTAATACTTCCCTGTTTATTTGCCTCTAGGTAGTGTTCATTTTTAAACAGGGACTTCTCAGAGATGGTAATATATTCATAAAATACTTACTTAATGATGGGATGCGGATTGAGTGGGAGGATGACACTGAGGACAGGCAGGACCCTCTGACACCCCATAGTTCTTTCATTTTTTTCTCTTTAAAACATTCACCAGTCAAGCTGTGAGAATATCATGCACCTGAAACATTTAGGCAACACTTATTCATTATGTGCTACACACTCAAAAGCAAGAACAAGGTTAATAATCCTAAACTGTGTGATGGCATGAAGGGTTTCACAGGTTAGTCTCAGGACATTTTCTCGTTGGGGAAATGACTTAGTATTAGACTCAAAGTTTAAGATTTCATTAGACTTTGCTTTTTCCTTTGGATCCAACTCACCCTGAACCCATGTCCCTCCTTCAGCTCATCCAGACAGTGAGTGCTGTGGATCAAGATGACCCTCACAATGGTCAGCATTTCTACTACAGTTTGGCTCCTGAGGCTGCTAACAACCCCAACTTCACTGTCAGGGACAATCAAGGTAAGCAGTGGACCTGGGGCTATCTGTGCTTTTCTACTGCTCAGGCTGGCTATTTGACTTGCTATATACTATACGCACAGTACTAAGTCTTCAGGCTTTCTAATATCAAGAGGACATTAATGCTAATTTGCAGTCTACTAAGTTTTGTGTCATAACATCAAAGACAAAGAGTGCCCTCTGCTGTTTCTAAAACTTTAATTCCTCCATCAGTCGACAAATATTTATTGATGCTTGTTCCGTGGAAGACTCTTCAAAGCACAGTGGTGAATTTCCTTTCTTTAGCCCAACTCAGAGCAACTGGATTTATATCTGAAGACAGAAAGAGTTTAATGAAAAGGGGTCCAGAGAAAGAAACAAACCCCAACTAATATTTCTAGTCAAAGATCAGAAGGGAGGGTGAGTATAAAGCCTCCACAACAAAAGATGCAAGGTTAAGTTGAAGGATATTGATAATAATGACAACAATGATAATAGAGGTAGTATAACACAAATACAAGAATATGAAAGTATTCACAGGATTCAAGCACTTTTTCATGGAGACAAGATTCTCTTACAATAACCTGCACTGGCATGAAATGCATGATCCTGCTGCCCAAGCCTCCAGACGCTAAGGCCAAAGTCAGCCACCATTCCACCTGGCTTCAAACAACGTTAGGTTCAGAGAAAGCTACTCAGATGGGATCCTCACTGCAAAAGGTACTTGCTTTCCACTACATCTCTATGGAATTACACTCCTAGGATCCTTCCAACAAGCACTCATTGGCAAAGGGGATCACAGACTTAGCACATTCTTGGGGATCAAATAGGGAGAAGAGGAACTTTTATTCTCCAGCTGAATATACTTCAAAGGAAGGTCAGGATAGTTGAAAGCAAGCAGTTAACTGTCAGACGGATCCCTTGTTAATTCTGCTGCCAACTCACTGACTTGGGTGTCCTCACTTCTCTGAGCTTCAACACCATCATCTTAATGATGCCTTCCTAACAATCTAAACAAAATGTCAAGAATAGGCATGCCTCGTCTTCCTCTCAAACATCATGTTTAAAATTTGAATTACCGTCACAACCTCATAAATAGAAGTATTTTTCAACCTTTTAGTTACCCTAAAATGTCTATGGAAGGAATGCTTGCAATTAAATATCCTGAGGTTTCTGCATGTTTATGTGTGGTATGTGCTATGTTCACATGCATGGGCACATGTGGGGATGCAGGTGTCAGATATTGACATCAGGTGTCTTCCTTCAGATTTTGATGTTTAATAATGGGTACATGTGAGTACAAGTGCCCGGTACAAGTACAAAGACATTGGATCCTTTGGAGCTGGAGTTGGTGCTGGGAGCAGGACCCACAGGTCTCTTCCTGGATCATTCTCTACCTTATATACTGAGGCAGGACCTCTCATTTGAACCCAGAGCTTGTTGATTCAGCTGACCTAGCTAGCCAGCTTGCTTCAGGGATTCTGTGTGTACCTCCTGAGCACTGGAATTATAGTGGGTGGCCATGCCCATCTGGCATTTGTGTGGGTACATAAACTCTGGTATTTGCCTTATGTAGCAATTTGCCCAACAGCCATCTCCCCTCCCCATACCTGTATTCCAAGAATTTTATTGAGTCAAACTTCTAAATTATTCACTTATCTGTTTCATAGGAAAATCTTCCCCATAAAGAACATTTTTATCCTCCTCGGGGTTGGCTTTATGAAGGAAACCCCATGGTGAGAAGAGCTGGCCATTATGTGTTTTCCTCAAATTTTTAGCTAGGTGTCACTCTTTTCACTCATACTTGCAGAACTAACACAAAAACAACAAATAGCAAAAAGCTGCAAATTTCTTAAAGGTGACTTTGGGCACCTGTCCATGTATGTCATATGAAGATGGGCTACCAGAACAGGACTGTCACAAAAGGAGATGAATCATCTACTTAATAAGTACTTAAATAAATGTGAACCCTTTGACAAATAAAAGTAAAGACATTTTAGCAAGGGTTGGTGAGGTCTGTGAGTCAAATCCAGGGTCTTGCACATGCTAGGCAAGCTCTCTACCACGAAGCAATATCCCCACTCTTTCTCTTCTTTGTCTTTTTATTTGGGTTTAGATTTCAGAGGTCAAGTCTCACTATGTAACTTCACTAGCTTGGAAGTTTCTATACAGACCCCAACTAGCCTTTGTGGTCCTGCTGCCTTAACCTCCCAAGTGCTGGGGTTACAAGGGCATACCATCATGCCCAGTCTTTTTTTTTAATCCCAAAACATGAAAGAATTATATATATAGAATATTTTAAAATTTTCAGATCATTTTCTCATCTTTGTTTCGTTCGGTATTCATAATGACCAGTAAAGTATAATTCTCATAGTCACATTAACTGATGAAAATGACACAAAATCAGAGAGCAAGCAAGCATTAGGAGTGGGGAGAAGAATGGGAATGTGGCTCAGTGGTAGAGCACATCTCTTACATACAAGGCCTTGGGTTCAGTCCCAACAGAAAAGACATACTGCTACAGAAATTGTTGCTATAACTTCCTGTTTTAGCACATGCACATGGACACACACACACACACACACACACACACACACACACACACACCAGGGCTTTCTGCCACCTTAGAAACAAATACTATTTGGAAAAAATGTCACTAAAATCCTCATTTTCACTTTCAACAAAAACATGCCAAATGGCTAACATACTCCAGTCCCAACAGGGCCAGACTCAGCCATGTGATATAAAGTTCTGGGTGTGTTTTCTGTTATATCACTGTTGTTTTGTTGTTTCAGCTCTATGACAGCCTCTCTTTAAATCCTTATGATCTAGGCTAAATTAAAGCAAACTAAAAAAATAAATACAAGCTTTGTTTAGAGAAAATTTGATTTTTGAAAAAAATTAAAATTGCAAAGGATAATTAACAGTAGTTAGTTATTAAGTCAAGTGAGGGAAACAAAAGATGAGCAGTTAGGGTTTCTATTGCTATGACGAAACACCATGACCAAAAGGCAAGTTGGTGAGGAAAGGGTTTATTTGGTTTACACTTCAGCATTACTGTTTGTCACTGAAGAGTCAGGACAGGAACTTGAACAGGGCAGGATCCCGGAGTCAGGAGCTGATGCAGAGACCATGGAAAGGAGCTGCTTACTGGCTTGCTTCCCATGACTTTTTCAAGCCACCTTCCTATAGAATCCAGGACCACCTTGCTCAGATGGTATCATGCAGATAGACTGAGCCTTCCCCCATTGAAGACTAAATGAGAAAATGCCTGGATCTCATGGAGGCGTTTCCTAGCTGAGGCTCCTTCCTCTGATGACTCTAGCTTGCGTCAAGTTGACACACAAAACCAGCCAGTACAAATATAATGCTCAGGTTAATAACTGATTGCTGTCATTTCACACTGACAAGAAAATAAGATGAAAGTGAACCTGTGTTAAAGCAGGAAACAATTACAATTATCTGAGCAGGTTTTGACCACTATCTAAAGTGTCTACAGCTGTGATAAAACATCATAATGGAAAACAACTTGGAGAGGAAAGATTTTATTTCATCTAAAACTCTCAGGTCACTCCATCACTGAGGGAAATCAGGGCAGGAACTCAAGACAGGACCCTAGAAAAAAACTGAAAGAGGCCATGGAGAAACACTACTTACTGGCTTGCTCTCCATGGCTTCCTGAGCCTGCTTTCTTATAGCACCCAGAACCACCAGTTCAGGGATGGCACCACCCACAGTAAGCTGGGCCCTCCCACATCAACTATCAATCAAGAAACTGTACCACAGGCCAATCTGATAGGAGCAGTTTTTTCCGCACTGTAAGTTCCCTCTTTCAAAATGACTCTCACCTATGTAAAGCAGACATAAACCCAGTTAACACATCACTAATGCTATGAAACTAAACAAGCAATTGTAGGGCACCATGGAATAAGTACATGATTTGAGTCTGAGAAAGCAGAGTTCAAATACTAGCTTTGCTACTATCTAGGTTAGTGACTATAAAGAAATTGTAATTAACCTAGGCTCTAGCTCTTTCACTATAAAGGATGGAATCATTCAGTAATACAACCAATTGCCACAAAGATTAAATGAGCACTACATGTACAAAATACAAAAACTTGTACTTGAGTACAAAAACAAAAACAAACAAACAAAAACCCAGCTGGTACCATTAAAAAAGAAGAGAAAAAGAAAAAAAAAAAACCAGGGAGACAAGTAAGCATAAATTAAGAGGTGATGGATTAGGATGCTTTGAGTTACACCTGAAAGCTGTCCACCTCATTCAGCTGTGCCCCAAGCTGCAGGAATGTTGTGTTCTTTCAATTATGGCTTCATGGCAAAACAACAGGAAGAGTCAGACACCAGCTTCTACCTTCTCATTTTCTGTCAGTTAAGACAAATGATTTTGCTATGTCCAACTTAAAAACTGTAGTAAAGTAGGGTTCCTTTATTACATTCAAGAAGGGACAGAGAACCAGGAACATGTTGGTGCTGTGTAGCCTTGTGTGCCTTAAGCTTTTAGAAATTTTGTGAAATTCTAGTCCATGTGAAACATTCCCAAAAAATTTCTGTTAATGGTAGGAACTTTTCACAGTTTTGAGGTTTTCTCGTTTGTTTGTTTGTTTGTTTGTTTGTTTGTTTGTTTACCAGGACCTCACTCTATAGCCCTGGTTGGCCTAG